TAGTTCCTACCTGTGTCTCATACTTTCTGTTCCTTCAGCTAGATTATCATGGGAGCCAAGTGGGGAGAGCCACATTTGCCTTTGCCACTCCCCCTCTGCAGAGATGCCGGGGACTTGCATAGGAAAACAAACAAATAAGCACAAAAAAATGGCTTTTCTCCCACTCTCTCTGCCTTGTAGGATGCCCTTTCCACTCTTAAGACCAGTAATAGAGAGCTCCTCTTGGTGCTCTTGGTGCCTGCACTGGGACCTGGTGCACAGCCCATGTTTGGGGTTGCCTTTGAGTCCAGGCCAGGAGGTACCGGAGGAAAGAGATCCAAGAATCTCATGCATGGTTCAGTGGCGTTATGAATCCTAGTTTTCTTCCCTCGTTCTCCTGTTACCTTTACTTTTCAGGACAGAAAGTCATTCCACCCAGGGTTCTTGGCTGCATTCAGTGGGAAAAACAGGACTCGGGGTGCTTCCTCCATATGGACTGGGCCTGGATTTTTGCCATGTAGTTTTATTAGATGGTAAAATCATACTGATTGCTTAATAGTATTGTCCGGTGCACCTGGCAGATCCTGTTGTAAGCCAGCATTGTTTAATTTTATTTAGTGTCTTTCTACAAAGGAAAAATTGCTTCAGTAAACTGATTTGACAATCTGAGTACCTTTGAGACACCAGTCCTCATTCATGTATTTTATATACGTTACTCGTGCCAATGATGTGTCAGGTGTAGGGCTAGGCACAAGGGCTACCTTTGTAACGGACACAGAATCTTTGTCCCTAGGGAGTATGATAGATCAGAGTAGAGAGGTAAATTGAGGGCAGAATAAGAAAGGTCTTAAAGGTCAGGAAAAGGTATTTACAGTATAATTTGGATATCAGCTGAATGGTTTTGATTGGGGGCTAACAAAATCAGTTTTGCGCTTTAGAAAGACAACTCCCTATATATCTACATTGGAAATATAGAGGCTCAGGCAGGGCAAGATCAGAGGTAGTAAGATCTGTTAGGGGGCTGTTGTAGTAACCTAAGAAAGAAATTATGACAATCTGGAATTAGTCGAAATAAATCATGCTATATCCATACAAGGGAACACTATACAGCCAGTAAAAGAGTCCAGCATCTGTATGTTAAAGAAATGATCAGAAAGAAATGTGTCTACTCTCTGAGATGGGTTCAATAGATTATGATATTTCTCCAAGAAAAACACTCCAAAGCCTTACATTATACAACCCCTCAAAGAAACAGTTGGCACATTTGCCAAAGCTAAAGCCCCTGCTTGGCAATATACTTCTTCCAGATCTTTATAATTTGTTTGTGGAGAAATAAACCAGATCATTAATAACAGAACATGGGTCAGGAACCATGTAACATAAATCAATTTATTTCATCAAACGCTTTATAAGTATAATCTTATTTCATACTTATATAAAACTATCTTAGTTAAAATAAAGTATTTCCAAATAAAAAATAGTTAGACACTATTATTAAACCCATTTTCTTCAGGCACAGAATGGGTAATGTCCTTGGCCAAAGTCACACAGCCCAGCTGTGATTCTAACCTGCTGCCTAGTTCTAGAACCTGTTCTCCTGCCTCTATGCTCAGCTGCTCTGAGGAGCTGACATGCACTCTCTAACATAAAGTAAGACAACATCTTTTTTAAAAGGGAGAGGGAGAGAGAGAAAAAGAGTAGAAAGAAACATCAATAATGAGAATCATTGATTGGCTGCCTCCTGCATGCTCCCTGGGGATCAAGCCTGCAACCGAGGCATGGCCCTTGACCGGAATCAAACCCAAGACCTTTCAGTTTGAGAATCATTGATCGGCTGCCTCCTGCATGCTCCCCAGGGATCAAGCCTACAACCGAGGCATGGCCCTTGACCGGAATCAAACCCAGGACCTTTCCATTTGCAGGCTGAGGCTCTATCCACTGAGCCAAACTGGCTAGGGCTAAGATCACATCTCTAAGATTCACCCCCTTTAGAACTATGTGGAGTTAGGAAGGGGGTGGAGCTAGACAGAGATCTAAACCTGAGGAAATAAGAGGCAGAAAAACTCTCTAATTAATCAGCTGACTCCTCACATCTACAAATATCTGTTGTATTGATTGCTTTTAATGTGTGTAGCACTCCCCCCTCTATACAAAAAGCTAAACTTGCCAGTTATTTACAGTCAGTCGTCTTGATTCCCTTCGTTTTTTCATCTATAGTGGAAAGAGCTCCAAGTTCACTGAATTTTATGAAATTAAAGCATTTTGTAAAGAATTTATTTTGTTAGTACACATTTCAACACAGCTGTCAGCCCCCTGAAGGTGAGAGCTCAGCCATGAATTGCTTCTTCTAATTGAAGGAAAGAGTCTGGAAAGTAGGTGGAATGGTGTAGGCAGAATTCAAACTTGAATGTCTCTAAATTGAACCCCCGCTGCAGCCTGAATGCTAAAACAGTTTAAAATATCTTCCTTTAAAAATACGTGTATCAAAGTGAATTGAGAAATTACAAAGGCTAAAGTTCCATTAGTTTCTTCTAGCAAGTTTTTTTTTAAATTTGCAATCGTATGAAATCTTTAGGTGACAAGAGGAAAGAGTCACTAGGAACTTCTATAAGACCCTAATGTTCCCCAAATAGGCCAGTTGGTCCCGGATACTCAATAGTAACAAACGATTCAACAGACTGTGCACAAACACATGTGTTCCTTGGTTTTCAAGCTCTTGCTGGTGGTCAGCTCTTTCTATATATTCCTGGGCCCACCAGTGGGCACTATTCAAGGGGACAGACACAAAGCATTTTCCAGGAAAGATCCAATATTATTGCTAGTTTATTCTCCCTAATTTTAGCACTTAATTAAAAATATCTTAATAGGGCAATACACTATATCAGCGGTTCTCAACCTGTGAGTCACGACCCCTTTGGGGGTCGAATGACCCTTTCACAGGGGTCGCCTAAGACCATCGGAAAACACATATATAATTACATATTGTTTTTGTGATTAATCACTATGCTTTAATTATGTTCAATTTATAACAATGAAAATACATCCTGCATATCAGATATTTACATTACATTCATAACAGTAGCAAAATTATAGTTATGAAGTAGCAACGAAAATAATTTTATGGCTGGGGGGGACCACAACATGAGGAACTGTATTAAAGGGTCCCGACATTAGGAAGGTTGAGAACCACTGCATTATATTGTTCAGGGAGTGCATATTTCCAGTGAAAAGCAATGTTATATAGCAAAAAAGATACTAATTTTAGCGCTAGAATTTCTTGTCTACTTCTGATTTTTACTATCTGTGTGACCTCGGAAAATCTAATTAACCTGTCTCCACATCAGTTTCTTTATCTCTACAATTTGGACACAGTATTGATGCACATCACTGGTACACACAAAAAATTATTTTGACAACTGCCAAACAAATGCAAATTTTCATTCTTGCACCCATTCAACAAAGAATGCAGGAACCATGCCCTAAGCACTGTGATTTTATTTGAAAGTGAATAAGGTTCAAGTTTTGCCTTAGTGCCAGTTGCTATCTCCTATAGACAAGGCATAAAAAAATCTAGTAGTGAATTCTGCCTCCTATACACTCCTGCCCATAACCATGTCCTCTGCCCTAGACTAGGTCATTTTCAGCTACCACTGGGATTGTTGCATTGCCTCCTGACTCCACTCCAACAGCCCTGTAAATCTTTCTTCACACTGTAGCCAGATAGGTCTTTCTAAAATAGAAATCTGATCAGGTTCCTTCCTAGTTTAAATACTATAATATAATAAAGTACAGCAAACTTAAAGTGACTTAATCAGTCCTGTCTTCCTCTACTACTTCAGTTCTCCCCATTCTCCTACCTCCCATTCCATGTTCTGGCCATTTCAATCTTTGTAAAGTTTCCCAAACACAGTGTGCTCTAGCTCATCTGTGTACCTTCAGACATGTTTGGAACCCTCTTCCCTTCTACTCTTCATCCAGCTGATACTCAGCCATAATGCTCAGCTTCAGTGAGCTTCTGGGTCTTCCTGATTCAGTCCTACCTCAGCACTTGTCAAACCAGATGCTCATCTGCCCTCTAGACTCTAAGTAAACAAGAGTAAGGATCATGTCTCTCTTGTTCAACATTATGTCCCCCAATCTCAGCAAGTTTTCAGCAGTCACTCCATATCTGTTGAATCAATAACCCGTATTGAATGTTAATTATTTAATGCCACTTTCCAAGAGCCCTTCATTGGAAGGGATCGCCCCCTCTTTTGGCCTCTATGGATTTTAACTCCACTTACTTATATAACAGATTTACCACCTTATACCTTTCACTTTAGTTATGTAATTTATCTCTATTATTGAGCAAGTTTCTTCTTAAGTGCAGAATACATGTTCAATTCATCTTTGTAGTTTCTCTAGCTCATCTACCACATAGCTTTATATATACACAGACTCCAATAAAAGTTTATTGAATTAATTAATGAATTAATGGAACTTAAATATTATATTTAATAATTTCCAAATAGTCTAATTTATGGAGAGCATATGCTTTGAGGTTGGAATGGCAGGTGATAAATCTAAATAGGTAAGTTGAGGCAAGATAGTGGAGGATCTAGTTTACTCAGCTAAGTAAGAACTTAATAGTTTAGACACTGGAGATTTGTTGAGGATTTGTTGAGGTATGTGATCACAGCTGCGTTCAGGGAGAGTAATCCATCCTTGAGATAACTTTTGTGGTAGATAAGTGTAGCGCTATCCTGCATCCATTCCCAGAGTTGGGTAAAGGGGTAAGTGAACCTTGGTGCTGTTAGGGATTCAGGTCCTTTGGGATTGTGATTGGGGGGAAAAACACATACAGGAAGTAGAAGACAATTACTAGTCATAGCATGTTGGCTGTTGGGTCGTAGTTTTACCTCTGGTTCTAGCTATAATATCACTCCACTGCATTCTCTAATTATCCAAAATTATTCAGAGTCTTAGATGTACTTATAGTTGAATTAAATCTCAAAGTTAATTCTTCATTTGTTTCCCAACAGGTTCTCTGACTCTGAGAACACATCACGTTCAAGATTCCAAAATGGGATTTGTGATCAATGCGATCTACTCCATGGCCTATGGCCTTCACAATATGCAGATGTCCCTCTGCCCAGGCTACGCGGGCCTCTGCGATGCAATGAAGCCCATCGATGGACAGAAACTTTTGGACTCCCTGATGAAAACCAATTTTACTGGGGTTTCCGGAGATATGATCTTATTCGATGAGAATGGAGACTCTCCAGGAAGGTATGTTACAATTCCCCTCTAGACAATAGATCCTGAACAACAGCCATCTCTTGATCCTGAGGTGCCTGTTTATCTCCAGGCATCCTGGTCATGTTTGACTAGCTCCGACATCACAACGCGAGAAGAGACAGAGAGGGAAAGCCCTATTGCCTGTGGCCAGGGAAACATATTGATGCTGATGTGCAAATCATGGTCTTGGAATCATCCCCATATTTCAGAGATGTAAACATAGGAGCAGGGGCCTCACGTTATCATAGATCATCAAAAGCAAGTTCTGTTTGCCATGTTATTCCCTGTATTCTGATCTCTTCTTGGGTCATGAAGCTATTCTGAAACAGGAACAATTCAATCTCTGGTATTCCAGAAATAGGCATGAGGCACTGTTATGTTGTTTGCTGTACCCACAGAGAGTTACAAGTCATATTTTATTTTCTTATCCTCCAACTGGAGAACTTTCTCCCTTCTCAAGGACTAAATTGCCTTTTTCTCTGAAATTTCACCTTCCATTACTTATAGAGAGGAGTCTGAAAATATGAACTTACACATAATTACAGGTCAGCCTCCAGAGAAAGTCCTGAAGTACCTAGAACTTATCAGAATTCACATCTATTTCATACTCCAGATTCTTAAGTGACTCTTCACATGGAACTTTTAATCCATGAGAGACGGTGTCATTGAAATGATATTCTGGGTTGTAGCAAGGCTGGGTCTTCACTCCGCCTTGCTGCAGAACAATTGGGGTCCTTTGGTCTCCCCCCTGTTAAATTCCAGGTACTCTTCCCATAGCAGATTATGTTTGACAGCTGCGCTTGCAGGGGGTGACCTTACACCATGTTTGCAGTTGACTGTGCCAAAAGGTTTCAAGAGTCTCTCCAGGACTCATCACCTAGGTGCCTACACCTTGGGTTAGCTTGGCCCATATTCCTGAGGTAAGCTGGAACTTGTCTCTGATGCAGCCCTTACCATTTCATACTAAACTGGACTTCTCAGTTACAGCTGGGGTCAAGTCATGCAGCCAAGAGGAAAGCTGGATATTTTCTCTATTCTAGAGATGTGAAGACTATTGCTCCAGGCAGGCTGTTAGCTAAGATTAGCTGACTTTTCACATGTGGTTTTCTAATTTTTGGCTATTCAGTTTATCCATCACAGGGAGTGAAGGGTGCAGAGGGTGAGGGAGAGGTACAAGCATTTACCCAGGGTCAAAATTGGCATCTGCTGTAATGCTTCTTGGGGCAGGTAGACCAGTGAGCTCAGTCTTTGGGCTTAGGTCAAGGCCTGTGCTCTGGTATCTACACATGGATTTAGCAGTCCTGTATGCATCCTCACAGTACTGACATCAGCTTGGGATTGTTCACAGATGTTGTGATTACAGCTTCACCATTCAGTTTTCATTTCATATATGCAAGCCAGTTCCACAAGCCAGATAGTGAATAAATGGCTCAGTTCTATTCCAATGGGAAATCTTAATGAGTCACTGTCTCATTTATAATTCTCCAAATATTCTGTAATGAGATAACATTTCTGATGCTGGTTCTTACCCTTTTTTGGAGCATGAGTCTTTAAGACTCAGATAAAATTTCTCAATATTCTCTTAATAACTATTTACCTAACGTTTTATAAACAATTTCTGGGAATTCACAGTTGTTTAGAGATTTTCGATGCATTACTAAGGTTGGGTATTATATTAACTCATTAATAAATGATCAGAATTGGCTTCTGAGGGTATGAGCCAGACTTAGGAAAAAGTGGTTTGAAACTTTTTGTTTTTCCAACAAATCCAGTTATATTTACAAAATAAATAAAACTAACATTTATTGAGTGTGTGTTCTGGGTCAAACACTAAGCTAAATCCTCTACATTTGAATCCTATGGAATAAGTAATATTATTATTCTCTTTTCCAGATTAAGGTTTACAAACTGAGGCTCACAAAGGTTAAGTAACTCACCCAAAGACACAGTCTAATAAATGGTAGTCAGTATTCTTACTCAGCCTGCTGGGCTTCAACTCCTAACCATGTACAACACCCTGCCAATTAACCGGGATCACAATTTTAAAAAGCCATTGTTTTCTGATAAATGTATTTGAAGGCATTATGTTGTTAGTTCTGCGGATTAAAAGTTACAGCTTTGCTAGATCAAAGGCATTCCAAACCAGAGGAGCCTGGGATGGTCAAGTGTTCCCTTCAAATGCCAGAGTCCCAGAGCCAGAGCCTAAACAGAGGAAGCTGGGAGAGGTGGCAGCTCACTTAGGCACACACACTTGTGGGTCATTGGAGAGTAAACTAGAATCATTGCTTTTCAACCTCACATCTAATTAGCGTCCTATCAGTTCACAATTCTTTAAGGAAAACCTTGGTGCCAGGTGTGTTACAGAATTCAAAATGTTTGAATGTACAAAAGGTTATACAGTCCTCTAAGGCCCCTGGCATGCTGTGGAGCAGCACTTCTTTATCAACACATTAATATTTCTGCAGCAAAACATGAATATTCACATGAAGTGTGATAAATAGACTGACTATAAGTAGTCTCATGACATTGTGGGCCAGGTTCTGTCACTAGGTAAGTTCAGATAGGCTAATGTTATACTGCCAAGTGAAGGTAAAAGTAAAACAAACAAAAAAAACTGGTTTTCAGAGCTCTAAGGAATTCATTATACTGCCAAGTGAAGGTAAAAGTAAAACAAACAAACAAAAAAACTGGTTTTCAGAGCTCTAAGGAATTCGGAATTATAGCTAAGAAATGTGGACCTTTACTATTTACCATCAACGGTATAGATTACGGGTCAGCAAACTATTGTCTGCAGGTCAATGAGAGTCTGCTCTCTTTATAAATAAGATTTTATTGGAACACATTTGCACTCATTTGTTTAGATACTGTTTTGTGGCTGCTTTCACATGACATTAGCAATGTAGAGAAGTTCCACAAACCAGAGGCAGTTTCGCATAGCCTAAAGTATTTACTGTCTGCCCCTTTACAACAAGTTTTTCAACCTCTGGTATAAAGAGTTCATTGAAAACTAAGATTTCAGAGGCATTGTCATGGTCTGGAACTGACCATAATTGGACAGAGGAAACATGGAGAGTCAATGTCAGACCAATGACTACTTAAAGCAAAAATTTTAACATTATATTGTGAGATTTATAAGTGAATGTAAAATATGTGAATGTAAAATATTTGACAACATGAAGGAAGGGGATATACATGGGCAAGGTTCTTATATTTTACATTAAGTGGCACATTAACTTTAAGTAGAAAATAAGATAAATTAAGAATACATATTGTAATCCCATAAACACCCACTTAAATTTTAATACAAGAGGAATAGCTAAAAAGCCAATAGAGGAATTCTAAAACCCAAATTATCCCAAAAGAAGTCAGGAAATGAGGAACAGATGGACAAAATCAGAGTGACAAGTAGTAAACAAGGGTAGGACCCTAGAAATGTGCAGATACTGAGCTGGTTTGCACACTGATTCTTATTATGTGGCCCTGTCCATAGAAGGGTCATACAGATGATCTGTTTCAACATGCTAACTTCCATGGGAGAAAACTGAGTTTCAGAGAAAGGAAGAGGAATGGTCAAGGTTACATACTCAATTAGTAACAAGAAAATGAGACTATACAGACCGTAGGCATAACTTTTGGTCAAACGAACTCTGCGGTCTCCTTTACTCTGTGATTATACCACCCCAAAGGCATAGGTCATTATAATTACTTTGTTGTAGGGACCAGTGTTTGGAGAGCCCATTACATTGACTAACAGAATATTTACCACATTTTTAAGAATTAAACTTTTTTTAGACCTGGCTGGTTTGGGGTAATGGTTAGAGTGTCAGCCCACAGACTGAAGAGTTGTGGATTCAATTCTCGGTCAAGGGCACATACCTCAGTTACATGTTCTATCCCTGACCAGGTCGGGGAGCGTGAGGGAGGCAACCAATCAATGTGTCTCTCTCCCATCATTTTTTTTCTATCTCTCTCTCCCCTTTCTCCCTCTCTTACACTCTCTCTCTAAAAAATCAATGGAATAATATCCTCCAGTGAGGATTTAAAACGGACAAACAAACCAACTTTTTTTAAAAAAATCATCTTGGCATCAGATTTATAGACTGAGAGGACCCTAGTAGCCATATAAATCCCATGCTCTCTACAATGCCCTCCAGCAAATGATGTTTCAGTTCTCTGACAACAATCTTGCTTCAGCCCATTGGGGAAGGAGAACCTCACTATTTCTGAGGAAGCCTGCTTTAATTTTCAGAAAGTTATAATCACTCAGTTATTTCTGTAACTAAGCCCTGCTTTCCTTTAGTTTCTGTTTATGCTTGAATGGAACACATTTTTTTCCTTTTGGCTAAAATGTATTTTAGATTTTTTAGCCATGTAGACAATTAATATTTTAAAATCTTTGGGATATTTCAACCTGAAATTATGGCCAGTTAAAGAAGTGGCAAAATTTTTTTCATGTTTATTTTTTGAAAACTAAATCCTTTCACTTTTCACTAATTCTCCTATAGAAAAAAAAAGGCATGCTTATAGCAATAATAGCCTTAAAATGTAGAGTAGTTCAGATTTCTGCAATATCTAAACAATGGGAAATTGATTTATTAGCTCTTCCGAATAGATTTTGATAATGGAGCCTAAAGGCTGAGGTTAGGTCTTGGCTCAGCTGCTGGCATGTTCTGCAATCAGGTCAGACTCACTACCTTACTGAGTTTCAGTTCCATTAGCTGTGGAATTAACAGCTTGGGCTAGATCTTTTCAGAGTTAAGAACTGGTAGAATTGGATTGATGGCTTATTTGGGGGTGAATAATGAAACCCTCAGATCTGTTCAAATCAATAGCAGCAAAGAGAGAAGCCTCCTGACACCTACGTTTCTTTCCTCTTCCCAGCCTGGAATGTTCAAAAGTTACTGGCTCACAGAGTCACCTTTAGAAGAGCTAAAAGCCCAATATATTTGAAGTAGCCAATGACATCATATATATGAGTCCTTTTTACCTGTGTTCTATGTTCTAATATCTCAGCTTAGTAGCCATGGGGTAACTGGCAGAGTGGAAAGATGTAGGACTCAGTTTTGTATCCTATAGATTGGTGTGTTTTTTTGTTTTAGAAATGGAATTTGGACAGCTACTCAAAATTGTTACCAACTGCGAATAAAACACTGTAGAACTATCCTTTGGCCACTGAATAGCCAACAAAACTTAAGAATGAGTTAACGTTCTGAAAAAGATACTACAGTAAAACATGTGATTGGAAATGAAACCAGAATGGTATCATTATACAATGTATGTCCAAACAGATTGATGTCAGATTTGTTCTTAGCATCTATGTGCTGAGTATTGGTCTGACTATGACAATCTGGCAACTTGAACCCCAAAGCTAGAAAGTTTTCCATCCATGTCAATTTCCAGATAACTAAGTATGCTGAGCATGGACGGTTGCAGGAGGCATTCATAAGAGCCCATCTGCCAATCCTGTAAGTCCTGGGAGGGAGTATCAGAGGGTACTATGTGAAAGCACTGTGCACCTAAGACATACCTACAGGTATGTCCATAGGAACTGACACAGTGATTCTACTACTCATCCAAGGTACCCAGATTGAAAAATTATTTCAGAAATGATTCTCTGGTAATGTTCTTAATATAAGAAAAATCACCTAAACACATCAATTTTCCCTCTTTACGTCGCTATCCCTATGCTCAAAATAAGAATAACAGCTAATAATTCACAGGGTGCTAGTATATCTGGGGATTTTTACATTACATGAGGTTCTTTAGAAGCTATTTTTAGACTTATTTTAAATATCACTGCCGGTATCCTTATAGAACGACTTTTGCCATTGATAAAGGATAAAGTAAGAAAGGAAAACCAGGCCCTCTCCAAATTACCCCCACATTCCCTATAGCTGAAGATTAAAGATTTACCAAATTTCTCACTTGGTTAGAAAAGGGAAATTTTATTTTACTTGAGTGGAGATGAAAACCTTTCTATCTTTTTTAGGAGCCTAAGAGCAGTACTTGTTTAAACTTCTCGAAGTTATTTCAAAACTTGTCTTTCATCCTGCTAAGGTCAAGTCACCTTCTCAGATGGGATTACTTTCTATTTCAGGTGTATGCTTGAATTAAAAAAAAAATAGTCTCTCTGAAGACAAAGTTAAACTGACAGGTTTTTTGTTGTTGTTAGTCTTAGTGTACTGTCATGGAAAATTCCAGTATCACTATTTTTTACATTGTTTGGGAATGAAATCTTTCGATTTTTCATGGCTGAGATTTTATATTGTTAGATGAATAATTATTACATTCTCATTTCTAAGGTATGAAATAATGAACTTCAAGGAAATGGGAAAAGATTATTTTGATTATATCAATGTTGGAAGCTGGGACAATGGAGAATTAAAAATGGATGACGATGAGGTATGGTCCAAGAAAAACACCATCATCAGATCCGTGTGCAGTGAACCATGTGAGAAAGGCCAGATAAAGGTAAAATGGAGTCCATGTTTCTTTAATGGTTGTTGTAAATTCAGAACCAGAAGTGTTCATTATCTTTGGCTGTTGTTTAAAATTTTAGATACCTGTTTTTTTATATTATAAGCTTTTAATGTCAGAAACTGTGTTTTTTACTTTTTTCTCATTGATTCCTCATGATATCTAGTATGACCCACAATAGGCTTAGTGCTTGAACTCATTGAACCAACTGATGAGTCATGCTTGCCCACACACTTTCTATTCATGTAAGCCTTTAAAGACATACTTCCTGGGAATAAATAGTTAACAGTTGGAAATTACATTAATTGGTAATTATCTTAATGAATATTTACCAAAATCCTACTAATGTAATGGTTTATATCAATGGTAAAAAAGTAAGTTAGATGCCTTTACTATCAGAAGAGTTATAATTTAGATGAGGAAAAACATCATGGGCACAGAAAACTAATATCATGTAAAATGGGATGACTTTATTAGGAAAGAAAAAAGAGGAGCTATATAAGTTCATACAAAATAAAGGGAGAAATTTCTTCTGAATAAAATGTCAGACATTGCACCATGAACTAGAAGGTGAAGATTCAAGAGTAGAGTTCTGAAACATAAATAATGAAAGAAAGAGACAAGTTAGAAGTACACTGTGGTGATGAGGGTCCTGAATTGTGGAAGAAACAGTGAGAATAGAAAGGGAGCAAGGGAGATGCTTGAGATGAACATTACAGGTAGACTCAACAAACCCTGGCTACCAATTGGATGTATGATTGGAGAAGAGAAAGAAGTTTGGGCCAATTGTGATTTCGACTCTTAGTAACTAGAAAGTACCATTGACAGGAACAAAAACTGAAAATAGTTTTAGAGAAAAGGCAATGGGTTAATTTGGGGCTTGTTGGTTTTGAGATATCTAATCAGTGGTAGAAAATATTGGTCTATAACAATGAGAAATAAGGCTGAAGATACAGACTTAGGAATTGAACATAGCTAAAGTTGAAACTGATCGAGGTGATAAGATCGCTGCACCTGAAAGTACAGAGAGAAGATAAATGTGCGCTAAAAATAGAGAACTTGAAGAAGCTACAGGAAGAAAAGGTATTCCTGGTTGGTATGGTTCAGTTAGAGCAGTGGTTCTCCACCTGTGGATCGCAACCCCTTTGGGGGTCGAACGACCCTTTCACAGGGGTCGCCTAAGACCATTGGAAAACACATATATAATTACATATTTTTTTGTGATTAATCACTATGCTTTAATTATGTTCAATTTGTAACAATGAAAATACATCCTGCATATCAGATATTTACATTACAATTCATAACAGTGGCAAAATTACAGTTATGAAGTAGCAACGAAAATAATTTTATGGTTGGGAGTCACCACAACATGAGGAACTGTATTAAAGGGTCGTGGCATTAGGAAGGTTGAGAACCACTGAGTTAGAGTGTCGACCCAAATGCCAAAAGATCAAGGATTTGATTACTGGCACATGCCCAGATTGTGGGTTCAATCCCCAGTTGGGGTGCTTGAGGGACAGGGTGAGGAACAAATAGAGAACCAGAGAGCATGGTGGCATGTAAGACAGTGGTCAATCTAAGCAAGATGTCAAGGAAGAGAAGGACTGAAGGAAAGACATGAGAATTGGGGTTAGCCCTTCACTTGGATCCTTCTGGAAACAGAAGACTACTAAATTGAATAGAATAGAATAACTGAGCAACACAAAATGTATGGTGAAAAGCAGGTAAGGGAATAGTCTGGCAGTTTGAGGACAATAAAAAGCTACTTTTATACTAAACTAGAGGCCCGGTGCACAAAAATTTGTGCACTCCCGGGGGCGGGGGGAGTCCCTCAGCCCGGCCTGTGCCCTCTCGCAGTCTGGGACCCCTCGGGGATGATCATCTGTTGGCTTAGGCCTGCTCCCCAGGGGATTGGACCTAAGCTGGCAATCAGACATCCCTCTGGCAGCCCGGCAGCCCTCGGGGGATGTCCACTTGCCAGTGGGGAGCAGACC